AAATAGGCTCCAGGCTCTGAGCTGGCAGTCAGCATAGAGCCTGACCAGGGGCTCGAACCCACAAGCCGCGAGATCATGACCTAAGCAAAAGTTGGACACTTAACCGACTAAGCCACCCAGGCGCCCCAATGTTGATTTATTTTTAAGAGAGAAGCAGTCTATGGCCATACCACCCTGAACGCGCCCGATCTCGTCTAATCTTGGAAGCTAAGCAGGGTCGGGTCTGGTTAGTACTTGGATGGGAGAGAGAGAGAAGCAGAGAGCAAGTGGGGGAGGGGCAGAGAGAGAGGGAGACACGGCATATGAAGCAGCCTCCAGGTTCCAAGCTGTGGGCACAGAGCCTGACATGGGGCTGGAACTCCTGAACCATGAGACCACAACCCGAGCTGAAGTCAGAAGCTTAACCAACTGGGCCACCCAGGTGCCCCTAAAGACCCCATGTTCAAATATAGTCCCATTCTGAGCTACTAAGTATTAGGTGTTCAACATAGGGATTTTGAGGGACACAATTCGGCCCCTAACGATTGTTAAGACTTTCAAAACAACACTATAGGGCATTAAGCCCCATGCAGGGGTATTTCTGTGCACGGACACTGTGTGGCTGCACCAGACACATGGCCATGAAGCGAGCCCTGGGCTGGGAGAGTCATTGTATAGGGACAGCAGTGTGCAGCTGGAAGCATCAGACCTGCCCTTTTCAGACCTAGAGGCATCAGGTTCATGGCAGAATGAGCACCCTTCCCTGGACAGAATTGTAAACGAAGCAAAGCAGTGCACTTGGTGAGAGCCAAGTTTCCCTGAGATGACAGAGAGGATGAAAATGCCTTTGAGCAGGTTGAGAATGAAGAAAAGTTTCTTTGCAAGCAAATGAACATCCCACTGCACAGAGCAGAAATGTCTGAGAGGGAGGTCAGCTGGGAGCAAACAAGCTCTGGAGGGTGTAAAGAGTGGGTGGGAGTGTAAAAAGGATACATACCAGAGGACCTGACATTTCATTACTTTTTGTTATGTGGGTTTGAAATTCCCAGAATTTAGAAATTAAAATTGAATTGAATTCTGATCAAATACTATCATGCCTTGATCCAACCGCTATTGTACATCATATACAAATACATGGTGTTACTGCTTGACGGTGGAAAAGTATTTCATGCCGACCTACCCTGCTCTCTTGTGGCATCCATTCCAATCAATGTGATATTTAGAGAGGATGGATTATGAAGAGGTACCTACTGTAGCCTTAGTATACAGCCCACTCTCCCACGCCGGAAGCAAAGTCGTAATTGTTATCGCAACACGGTAGTGCTCTAACAAATTAAGCTTAGTCCCTTGTATATTTGCTTGGGAGTCATTATCCTCATTCTTATATTAGTCTCTCCCAGAGAACAACAACAAAAAAGACTTGTCTGCAATTATATGGATAAAAATACACAAGCAATTAACAAATTGAAAGAGCTTCTATATAGTGGAATATCACTATAGGAAATTAATAACGTGAAATAGATAAAAGCATTTTTCTTACACAGAGAGCTATCAATACAGACATATGGTGCATATGATTTTTATTTTTTCTTTTAATCCCATCGAATAAGATTACAAAAATAATTTTAAAACTACTCAAATAATGACAATTATTTTGAAAGTTAAAGTAATACATGTTCATTACAGAAAAAATATAGATAACCAGAAAAGAAAGGTGGTGTCATTATAATCCTAACACCCACTTACTTTTAGATGCTTTTGTTTGTTTTTTCTATAATTATAGATCCATTCACTACCTTGTTGCAAAAGGTAGAATCCTGTTTTACGTAGTGTTTAGTAATCTGCGTTTTGCCATTAATAATGTAAGATAAACATTCTTGTATAACATTCTGTTAATGACTACATTTAGTTAGAATTTATTTTTTAAATTTCCTATTGTTGTAAGTTTACATTGATTTCAGTTATTTACTGTTGTAAATAACATAGAAATATATATCCTTCCTGCTATAACTTTTTGTACCTCTACTATTATGTCCCTGGGATAGATTATAGATGTCAGTAATGTGTCAAAGTGGGAGGTGGAGAAAGGGGAACCCTCTTACACTGTTGGTAGGAATGGAAACTGGTGCAGTCACTCTGGGAAACAATATGGAAGTTCCTCAAAAAGTTAAAAATAAAACTACCTTATGATTAAGCAATTGCACTACTAGATTTTTTTGAAGATTTTATTTTTAAGTAATCTCTATACCCAATGTGGGACTCAAACTTACAAGCCCAATATCAAGAGTCACATGCTCCACCAACTGAGCCAGCTAGGCCTGCACTACTAGTTTACCCAAATAATACAAAAATACTAATTCAAAGGGATACATGAACCCCAATGTTTATAGCAGCATTATCTATGATAGCCATTATGGAAAGAGCTCAAATGTCCATCTACTGATGAATGGATAAAGAAGAGGTGGTATGTGTATATAATAGAATTATTACTCAGTCATAAAAAAAAATGAAATCTTGCCATTTGCAATGAGTTGGATGGAGGTAGAGTGAGCTTAGAGTGTGCTAAGTGAAATAAGTCAGAGAAAAACAAGTGACGTATGATTTCACTCATGTATGGAATTTAAAAAACAAAACAGGGGTGCCCGAGTGGTTCAGTCGATTAAGCATCTGATTTTGGTGCAGGTCATGATCTCATAGTTCATGAGTTCAAGCAGCATGTCAGGCTCTGAGCAGTCAGCACTTGCTTCTGATTCTGTGTCTCCCTCTCTCTCTGCCCCTCCCGCATTCATGCTGTCTCTCTGTGTCTCTCAAAAATGAAAAAACATTAAAAAAAATTTTTTAAATGATCATACGGTAAAAAAGAGAAGCAAACTAGGAAACAGACACTTAACTATGGAGAACAAACTGATGGTTGCTGGAGGGGAGTGGGTGGCGGGATGGGGATTAAATAGTGCACTTGTCATGAGCACTGGGTATTGTATGTAAGTATTGAATCACTAAATTAATTGTACACCTCAGGGCGTCTGGGTGGCTCAGTAGGTTAAACATCTGACTCTGGATTTTGGCTCAGGTCATTATCTCAGGGATTATGGGATCGAGCCTCATATTGGGCTGTCAGCACAGAGCCTGCTTGGGATCTCTCTCTTGAGTCTCTCTGGGCCCCTCCCCCTACTTGCACTCTCTCTCTCTCTCTCTCAAAATAAATAAACAAACATTTAAATAATGTACACCTGAAACTAATTTATACTGTATGTTAACTAACTGGGATTTAAATAAAACTTTAAAAAAATGTCTCAAAGTATATGCATGTTTTTAAGCCTTTTGAAGAAAAATACCTTTAATCAGGAAGAAAAGATTAAGAATTCATCTGCTTGTACAATTATTAGGTATTTACACTTAGAGAAGTGTAGTGAAAAGCATACCAGATTAGAGCAGTAAGACCAAGGTTGAATTTTTGCCTTGTCCACTGACAAACTGTAAGACCTTGATTCATCACTCAACCCTTTTAGGTCTTGTTGTCATTTGAGTTGACAGTGAGTCAACAATATAGTTGTCCTTGAAGTTAAATTAGTTAGATCCACTCACAATAAATATGAACAGGAACAAACCTGGAGAACATCCATGAATATATAAATGGGACGAATGGGAACTCAAATACGAATGTAACTTAGTCACCAGACTTTCAGTGAAATTTCTTTAGGTCCTCTTTGGGCAAAGACATGTTGGTTGACCATAGCTGCACAAGAAATGGGTGGCAAGCTGCCAAACTGAAGGTGATCTCCCCCAGCCCTGCCCTGCCCAGGGAGTGGCAGCCTTGGCTAGGCAACCTCAAACATCATAGTGTCCTTGAAGGCACTATTTCTCTAGCGCATGAGATGGTCCCAAGCTCCCTTCACCAGGAAATGCTTGAAATCAACAAATTCCCCTGTACCATGCTTCATATATAGATTGCCTATAAGGAGACAATACACTAATATGTTGACTTGAGAATTCAATTCTCTGGACAGTTATGCTTTTCATTACAAAGTAGAAAATCAGTATACTGATTTTTATCAACCTCTTGATCACTGCAGATCTGCCATTGAAAGGTAAGTGCATTCCAAGGAAACTGAAGAATTCTAGTCTCTGAGATGGCAAGGCCAAGATGGATTCCCCAATATTCACCAAGGTCAGTGCCACTTTGGTGGAAGCCAATATGGGTGGGAAGCTTTCTTTAGACTCCGAAAAGTAATGGACAAAATCTTTTATTAGGCTTTCCATTTATTTAATAGACATCAATGAGTATCTAACTTCATATCCTGGAGGAGGTCACAGTCTTACCTCCAAAGAGAGACATAAACAGTATGATAATGATTACAAACAATAAGCAAAGTGCAAAAGTTTATAAACATCTAAATTACTGAGAACAGAGGAGATGATTAATCAAGGAAGTTTGAGAAAGATTCATGGAGGAAGTAATATTTATGCTACACAGGGAATGAATATAAGGATGTACCTAGCTGAAGGTGGGGTGAGGAGAGGCGAGCATTCCAGATAGTTGGAGCAGCATGTAGTAAGGCATGGAAATGAAAAGGGACATGGTATGCGTTAGGAATCATAACAAACTTAGCAGGACTAGAACAAAAAATACAGAATCAATGTAAAGGAACAAGGAGGTGGTGATGGGATTTAATGCTAGAAAGATAGTTTGGGACCAGCTTATAAAGGTCATTTTATGCTATTTAAAGGAGCTTGGATCATGCAGTCAAGATAGAGAAACACATGCTGGAAAATGAGATAAAGTCAGAGTTGATTGGATTTACTCCTAAAGATTTTTTTTTTTTAATGTTTTATTTATTTCTAGGAGAGAGAGAGAGAGACAGCATGAGCAGGGGAGGGTCAGAGAGAGAGGGAGTCACAGACTGAAACAGGCTCCAGGCTCTGAGCTGGCAGTCAGCACAGAGCCCGATGCGGGGCCCGAACCCACGAACTGCGAGATCATGACCTAAGCGAAAGTCAGACACTTAACCGACTAAGCCACCCAGGCGCCCCTCCTAAAGATTTTTTTAATTACTGGAAAGACATTAACCTGAAAGAGGAGACTTGGTGAAGCGCCACATGGCTCTGAAGTTGACTTTATCCTGTAGATCACGTTTTGTCAACAATTTTGTGGATAGAGAAAGTAACTTCATCAAACTGGCCAATGATGCAAGCCTGGAAAAAAAAAAGTTAAAATGTTGAATGATTGAATTAAAAATTTGAAAGACTACACTATCAACAATGGCCAAGGTATGGAAAGAGCCCAAATGTCCATCAATGGATGAATGGATAAAGAAGATGTGGTGTGTATATATATATACACACACACACACACACAATGGGGTATTACTCAGGAACCAAAAAGAATGAAATATTGCCATTTGCAACTATGTGGATGGAACTAGAGAGTATTGTCAGAGAAAGACAAATATCATATGACTTCACTCATATGAGGACCTTAAGATACAAAAGATGAACATAAGGGAAGGGAAGCAAAAATATATAAAAACGGGGGTGACAAAACATAAGAGACTCTTAAATATGGAGAACAAACAGAGGGTTGCTAGAGGGGTTGTGGGAGGGGGGATGGGCTAAATGGGAAAGGGGCATTAAGGAGCCTACTCCTGAAATCATTGTTGCACTATATGCTAATTAACTTGGATATAATTTCAAAAATAAATAAATTTTTTAAAAATTCTGAAAGATTAATTCAACTCTTCTAAAATATTTATTGAGCATCTATTATGTTTCAGGAAATTTTCTAAGTGCTGGGGATCCAGTTCTGAACATGTCAAAGTCCTTGGCTTCATGGAGTTTGTATTCTAGGGAGGAAGGTTCATGATAAACAAATATATAAGTATATAGTGTCATGCACTGACACCTGAATTGAAGGAAACTGGTACTTTGTAAAAGAGAATAAGGAGTAATAGCAGAGAGAGAAATTCTGGGGGAAGAGAGTTCCAGGCAGGGGAATAGCAAGTGCAAACGTCCTGAGATGGAAAGAAGGTTGACATGCAAGAAGGCTACAGTGGCTGCAGCTGACAAATGATGGGAAGAGTGATCAGAGATGAGAGCGGTAAGAAATGGAGTTAGACGGGAGTTGCCTCACAACTGTGGATCAGTGATTCCAGATAAACAAGATAGCATTGAACCACATGTATATTAAGCCATTCAAAAATAGTTGCATGGTATTAAGACAATAAAGATATAATAAGCTTTGGGTTCTATTTTGTGAAAATCAATTACACAAGGTAAAGATGAAGGAGATATATGCCATCAGCAGTTTATGTGAAAAAGATCTCAAGGCCTTGGTAGATCCACAAGCCAGTAGGAGCTTGCATGAAATGATGACCTTGACAGACACACATATCGATACCTAGCACAAACTTAGACTAGATTAACATCAACATACATCAGATAAGTAACAGGATAAACTAACATTCTTTTTACATACAATATTTAAAGTATTACATTTGATTTGGCATGATAAATTTTAAGAGAGCTATTAATTTAAAATATTTCCCATTATTCAATGACAAGGATGCTGAGACAAATTTTTTCAGCTTCCCATCTCATCATTTCTGAGCTCTGCTTATTTATGTTTTTATGTATATATGTATTTATGCCCAACGTGGGAGTCAAACTCACAGCCCTGAGATCAAGAGTAACACGCTCCACTAAGCCCACCAGGTGTCCCATGACCTCTGCTCATTTAAAGCTCTTAGATCTCAAGTGAGAAATGATCCCATGTGAACACAACAGTGGTTTTGCAGACTGGGAAGTGAAGGCTGTCATTTTGGGCTCTTCATGCCACTGAACCAAAGAGAAAGATGTGGGTTATTATACTGGTTCTGAGTATTGATTGCAGCTGTCAAGGGGGAAATGAGATTGGTGAGCACAGGGAGGACAGGAAGTCTTTAAGATTGAAATCCAGAGAACTAACATTCCATATCCAGTGATGAAGGTTAATGTGCAATTCCAGCACTAATAAAGACCACTGAGGACTCACACCCTTTAGGAATGAAGGTTTGGTCTCACAGGATCAGGGAAGGAAACCTAGAGAGCCGATGTGCTGGCCGAGGGCAAAGGGAACATGGAATGAGAGTGAAATTGCATCCTGGTGACAAATCACAGAAACAAAGACTATGCAGGCTTCCTTTGTTTTGTATGTATTTGTGTCTACTTACCACTTACTTATTTTCTCTCTCTTTTCTCCTATATTATATAAGAATTAATTGTTGGTGATGGTTACCTTTATTTTTAGAAACTTTAGGCAAAAGATACATTAAAATCACCTGGGGACAGATACAATGACTGATGAGATCCTGTACTTCCTCTTTTGAAAGAGTGACAGGACCTTCAATTATTTGAGGAATATTTGCATGTTATTGTTATTGTTACTGGAAATTGAAACATAAGATAGAAAGGTGAGAATAAATGCTGAATAGCCAAAGGGAAGGATTCATCTGTTCTTGCCCTTCTGCGCTTTCCTTTGTAGTTGAGAGAAAACTGCATCTCCTGGATGCCCTTGACAGCTAACTCCTCATTATAAAACATGGAAGAACTAGAGGAGCTTTTCTTTCTCTGCTTCTTATTGGACCCCTGGAAGAACATAGTTGCTGCACAGGTAGTGGCGGTCCACATTCCCGCTTTCCTCCATGGAAATGCATCAGCATTGCATGCATCAGCAGCAAGCTGTCCATGGCCTCAGCAGAACAGTGGTCACGGGCTCTTAGTCACACCTCTTCTTTCTCCTTCATGCATAACAGTGAAAATGGCTTCCTGTAGTTCTTAATCTCTGGATAGCTTCACATTTTCCTTTTTTCTCTCTTTTCTAGCCTTTCCAAGCCTTTGATAACCAACTCCCAGTATTAAATTCCATCTGTCTGAAATAACTAGTAGAGGTTCTAGTTCTCCATAAGGACAAACACTGATCTGATGAACCCATGTCCCAAGCTATACAAAGAAAACCATGGAGTAGATGGGGAGGAAAAGGATGGTCATTGACAAGCCAGGAAAAAATGGGGAGATCAGATAACAGGATGTCTTTATAAAGTCCGGGATAGCATATTGTGATTTCTGATGTGTAGCAGTTTCAGGTAGGAATGGAGCCCAGAGGGTATGGCCTTCGAAACAGGGGCTGAAGTAAAGTAGAGGCATAGCTTCACTGTGATTGATGAGATCCTTTAACTGTGATGCAGGGATGCTATTTGGGTCACTCAGATGGCATTGGAACAAGGACAAAGGATGCTGGGATATGACATAGAGAGAAAGATGAGAAATGTTAGATTATGTCTTCTAAAATATGCTAATAATTTTTTATTAGAGAAATACATTTTAATGACCAAGATAGAATATTAGAAATCATATGAATTATTTCCCCCTCTTCAAACTGCTAAACAAATGCGTAATGATTGCTCTGCCTCTCTTGTCTCAAGCCTTAGAGCAACTGGCAGTGACTTAATACAAACAGGCACACTTAACTTTGTAAGCATAAGGGAATCTTACATTTTCCTCCAGGGCACATAAAAATAATAAAAGTCACAGATTAATATTTGTCCTTGGCTGAAGTCGCTGCAGCCCTTTTTTTAAAAATCCTGTTACAAACATAAAATAAAAAGATATATCAGAAGATCCAATGTTTAATGGTCCAGCAGGTGCACTGTAATTAGCTAATACACTTTCAGAATGACATGAAATTATCATTAGTGAATAATGGGATTAAGAAGACTACCAGAAGTAATGTATACTTCACCCCAATGTGCTATCAGAATGACTTCATTTTACACTATATTTACGTATTAAATTCCTTAACCTCTCTTTTGCTGAAATCTTTGCAGTGATGGTACAGTTAATACTACCTGGCATTTCTCTTCCAGGAAACACAAAAATAGCACCAACACATTAATTTGGTATCAGGAGAACAAAATTTGTGGCAGTGTCATGCTCTTAAAAAGCCAGCACTAATGTATCTTTTAGCTGGATTTGCCTAGGAAGTGTTTTTATCATATTTACACCCCCTGTAACTTAAAACTTATGCCCACAAAACAGTCCCTCTAGGATAGAGCTCATTAGAATGGATATTTTACCCTGGAGTACACTTTGCTATTTCCCGTTATAATTAATGTATTGTGGGCCCCATTAGTATTGTTACATAGGCTTCATCTCTACCTGCTGGAGAAAAACATTGTATTCAGTCACACTTCCTCTGCACTGTGGCAAGTTTTATCTTCAGCTGATAACTACAGCTCCAAGTCTACTAAATTCAGCAGGTTAAAAGTCTTATGTGGGTTAAAAAGGGATAATGGGGCATAAGTCTAAGAATGGATAATTTATGGTTAAAAATTTCTCTCTCCAAAGATCTCTTAATTTTTTTTTTAATTTAACTGTAGGCTATTCCTTAAAGTGCTAATTTGTAAGGATAGAGCTTAAGGGTAATTTTTTAAAGATTTTACCAAAGTCTCAACGGGGAAAAACTGAGAGCTTTCCCCCTGAGATCAGGAACACAACAGGGATGTCCACTCTCACCACTGTTGTTTAACATAGTGCTGGAAGTCCTAGCATCAGCCATCAGGCAACAAAAGGAAATCAAAGGCATCAGAATTGGCAAAGAGGAAGTCAAACTTTCACTCTTCGCAGATGACATGATACTCTACATAGAAAACCCGACAGACTCCACCAGAAGCCTACTAGAACTGATCCAAGAATTCAGCCAAGTTGCAGGGTACAAAATCAACGTACAGAAATCGGTTGCATTTTTATACACCAATAATGAAGCAACAGAAAGAGAAATCAAGAAACTGATCCCATTCACAATTGCACAAAAAACCATAAAATACCTCGGAATAAACCTAACCAAGGATACAAGAGATCTGTATGATGAAAACTATAGAAAACTTATGAAGGAAATTGAAGAAGACACAAAGAAATGGAAAAACATTCCATGCTCATGGATAGGAAGAATAAATATAGTTAAGATGTCATTACTACCTAAAGCACTCTACACATTCAATGCAATTCCAATCAAAATTGCACCAGCATACTTCTCAAAACTAGAACAAACTATCCAAAAATTTGTATGGAACCACAAAAGACCCCGAATAGCCAAAGTAATACTGAAAAATAAAACCAAAACGGGAGGTATCACCATCCCAGACTTCAGCCTCTACTACAAA